TGGCTCCCATTCTTTTGTAAGACCGCTTAAGATTTTCCTCACTTGGTCTTCCTGAGTATACTTCTTTCCGAGTGCAGTGAGGTGGTTTATGAGATGCGAGAATCTAACCTCCATGTCTCGGATACTCTCTCCATCCTTCATTCTGAATAACTCGAATTCTATGGTGAGAGTGTTGATTCTGCTCTGTTTTATACAGGTGGTTCCTTCGTGAGCTATCTCCAATGCTTCCCATATTTCTTTCGCAGTTTCCAGACTAGAAACTCTAGAGTATTCTCTTTGGCTTAGTGCACAGGTAAGTATGTTGATGGCTTTGCCGTTTAGAGTCACCAACCTTCTGTCTTCTTCATCGAACTCGCTGGGACTCTTATGTACTTGCTGTCTGTCTACGGTTTTCATAGGAACGTAGTTACCATGCTCGATCACGTCCCATAATCCATACTCGGTAGCCTTGATGAAGATCTTCATCCTCATTTTCCAGAAGGTATGGTTTTCTCTGTTGAAGCCAGGCGGTTTTGATGTTGAACACCCTTCGGGTAGCACACTGTCTCCAAATCCTGCCACGGGATCTCTCTTTAGACTGTTAAGTCTTTACAGAAGAGACCTACTCTGATACCAAATGTTAGTGGTAGTCTCATCCAAGAGGGGGTGAATTGGGTGAGTTATAAAAATTTTGCGAATTTAAAACAATAAGTTAACGGAAACAGAGAGTATGAGTTAGAGAGATTTCACCATAGAAAGTAGACATAGAATTTATACTGGTTTGGTCTCAACCACTTAACTTACGTCCAGTCCGCAGAACACCTCTTAGTATTCCACTATGTTCCAAAATTAATCTGGCTCTTGGTGTCGCAGTATAGTAATTGATACTCTCAATCACTCCCCCTTACTACCCATAAGGTTACAATCCCACCCAAGAGTCCACACTCTTGAGTTTCACACAGAACGTGATTAATGATGATAGATACAAAACTCTCTTACAGAGTGAATAAATGAGAATCACTGAAGCTCGGTGTATGGCAGAACAAAGTATTGAATGTAATAGTAAATAATCAACAGAGGGTAGTTCACGTATTCAATCTGTTCATTTAATGCTTCTTCACACCTTTTATAGTTCAAGTAGTTTAGTAACTGTTAGACAGAAGAGCTTCTAGCCGTTGGGAGTTCAGTTGTGTGTTTCTCTAGTTGGAAGAGTTTTTGCCATTAATACTTCTCACAAGGTAGGCTACAGGCTACTTAGACAACCGTTGGAGAGCCGTTGGGTTTTTCTACAATAGTATTTTAATTCAATAAGTTTTTCTTTGTAGAGTGAGATCAAAACGAACAAATGATAAAATGAACATTCATAGTTTACAAGTAGAATCAATCAGTTGTTAAATGTGTTGAACAATAACTAGACATCCCTGATCGAAGCAATGATCGATGACTGGTTGATCGATCAGGCTATCAATTATTTAGAGTGAGAGCTTTTGAAACAAATAACTAAGTTTATCGATCAAGTGATGGATTAATGATTTATCGATCAAGTGATCGATAAAAGGAAAAAGTAACTTCATACTGGTATGCAGAGAAAATGAAGATTAAGGTCACTTTCGATTTTGAATCTCTTTAAATAGAGAATTAAGATAAACATAAAGACTAAGAAAAGCTTGAATGAAATAGATAATAAATTTTGAAAATCATCGTGACTGGTTGAAGTTTAAACTGAAATCGCTCTATGATCGAACAAATGATTGAACACTTGTTGATTGATCAGGCTATCAATAAACAAGGTGTTATAGAAACAGATTTTAAAGCAATAATGATCGAACACATTATCTATAAATAGATGATGGATAAACTAATCGATAAACAATAAGCAGAAGTATATTCAGTGAAAACACAGACTATGTAAATTATCGAATAGGTGATCAATTAATGAATGATCGATCAAGTGATCGATAAAATAGAACAAAGAGATTTAATCCTATAAATTCAAAGAGCTGATTTATCGATCACGTTATGTGAAAAAACAAGGCATACAGGTAAGTGCAGTGATCGATCATATTATTGATAATTTGATTATCGATCCGGTGATCGAAAAGAACATTAATTAAAAACGAGATACCGATGATCGATCATTTGATCGATAATCCACTGATCAATCAAGTGATTGATAAGTCATTTGGATAACAACTTGCATGTAGAGTGGGTTATAAAGCAATGTTCGATCACATTATCGATAAATCACTGATCGATAAAAGTGATCGATAAATGGTGATGGAGGCAAAACGTAGAGTGAGTAGAGCACATTACCATTTATCTGTCTTCTCATCGATAAACCATTTATCGATCATGTGATCGATAAATGCCTATCAAATTTGTATCGCTTTATCTAACTGATGTTCAATCATTTTGATTATCGATCAAGTGATCGATAATTTACTGCAGACTTATATACATAACTAAGTTAACAATGATCGATCAATACATTATCTATCAAGTTATTGATCAATGTTTTCACTAAGTTACTGATTGTACACAATATTATCTATCAAGTTATCGATAAGTCCTTGATCGATCAGATGATCAATCAACATACTAAAACACATATTCCTTACTTTGTTATCATCAAAACCTTAATCCTAACAATAATCTCTCCTTAAGAGAGACAAAAATACCATTGTCTCTCATGTATGAATGACATCAGTATATTTTGTTATTCTTCAAATTGTGAATATAAATGAAATTAAACATTACCAGTGTGCGAATTTAATTTATCAGAAAAGGATGTAAATAAATATTGCTATTTGTAATATTTCTGCGCCTAAATATCAGTACGCGATTTTTGGATTTTTTTTTTTTAGGACCCCATGCGTGTTCCGGATTGTATTAGTTGGGGATCGTACTAACTAGTATTTTAACTGTAAATAAGATATTCCTCAGTTTTTTTTTTTTTGTAAATCATATACTGGGGTGAGGAATGATTCATATGAACCAAGTGATGGTTAATGTAATGAGAAAATCGTTAGCAAGTGCTAAGGAAGGAATGTAATTAATAACAAGTGAGGATATAAAACATGTCTGATAATGCTGCTTACTTGTTTTAAAACTTTTTGGTAATTATATTTTTTCCCCTTAAAACCCCATATTGATTTTCCCTAATTTAATAGCATGGTCACTATTAATTAATATAGTCAAGAAGTTTGAATTTGTGTTTTGACTTTCAAGACTAATTAATGTACTCATTGCTTTATTATGCACGAAACAGGTTTACTAGCAATGGATAAACCAAGAGATTATAACAGACTCGATGAAAGAATGGTTGATTGTTACATGTCCCCAAAAACAATGTGGGAAGGGATAAAGGCTCTCCAACAAGAAAACACCGACACAAAAACTATACATCACGAGAGGACTAAAGTTGGTCCTTTTGATGTTTCCAATATTGTGAAGGAACCTGACCTACGGTTGATACAATATGTGTTTGAGAATTCAAGGTTAGATTCATATGCTTATAACCATATGATTGGTGTTTTTGTTTGCGCGTACTTTTGTATTTTAATCTGAAGCATAGTTAAATCACTCACCTTATATGTTCTTTAGTGAGACGTATACGCCTTTTCGGTCATCTCATTTAAATCTGCGTCAATCTCAATTGATCACACTTAGACCACAAACTCATTTGGATTCGGGGGTGAGTATTTACTTGTACATTTACTCTATATATTTTGCTATTATTGAGCAAGGTCTTGATTACGTTATTGTTCAATTTTCCTGTTTTCTTAGATAATAGATGTTTTTGCTGATATCTTGACCGAATCTGAAAGAAGGAAGAAAAGTAAACCTATCAATTGGTATCTTCCCGTGATGTTTTCGGTGATTGCTTATTCCCTTTTCAATTGGATGATATATGTTAGGCTGTTAGTTGTTGGATCTAAAACAATCCCATCGATCAGAATGTTTAGTTGTTCTTTTGTGATGTGATTACAGAGTGCAGCACTCAATAGTGATGCAAGTTCCTTCCTTGACTTCGTTGAACGGCAAAAATTGAGAGAGAACTTCATGTTTGATGACTTGAAAGATTGTGAGAAGGTATTATCTTTTTGTCTGAGTTGTAATTGACATTTCATTCATAATAATGATTCTTTTTGGGCGATACGTCAATTTGATTTGTTTGATCACACATGGCAGATATTTATCCCTGTTCATGTCAAAAAGGATTCATGTGGACATTATTATTTATATATTTTTCATATGAAGAATCAAGAAATTGAAATATGGGATTCTCTATGGGATCAATTTATAGATAAAGCTAATCGTGACCAAACGACACAGAAATTGGTAAGCATCATATGGTTATGATATTCATATAATTAATACATGGACTGATCTTTTAATTCTTTAGAATTATTTTTTTTTTTTTGTGTAGGTGCTTGCCATGGATAGACTCTTCAGGGATGGTAAGTTCAAAGAGTTTTACTCGAGAATGATGAGAAATATTCGGTTACAGCGTAATGGGTGAGTTTAAGAATTTTTTTATTGAAAAATTATCCACTTAATTAATTAAAACATGCATTCAAGTGTATCCTGTTTCTTTAACATGTAGGCATGATTGTGGTATATTTGTGATTAATTATATGCAGCAATTGGATAATTATGTGAGGAAAAAGCCTTTATTTCAGGTACATTCTCTTGCGTAGTTTTTACTTTTAAGGATCTATTTAGTACAAAAGAAGTAAAAATGAAGGGAGGAAAGAAAAAATGTTAATGAGTTCGATTTAAAAAATTGAAGAAACTGTGGTTAAAAGTTGTTAATTAATTTTTTTTTGGTCTTGCATATTCTCTTCTTCAAAATTTTAGAATGCCACTTCTTCAATTTTTCCAATTGAACTCATCAAAATTTTCCCTCTCTGCCCCTCCCCTCACCAAACATAGGGTAAATGTTTTTACACACACATGGACAACACATGTACATGGATGTACAAACACTCAGTCATATAAATGATACAAACCATAAACAGTTTGACAGCACTGAAGAAAGATTGAATGTGGTATTAAAGTTGCTTAAGAGTGACTTGAATCGAGAAAAAGGAAAACTATATGCTGAACTAGGACGTTGGCATTCTGCACAAGTAGAAAGTGAAAGCGAAAGTTCTTGTGGAATTGAAAGAGAAGGGGTTGATTCTGATAATAAAGTCAAGAGAAATAATGTTGGTTTCAAAACAGGTACATGCTTTAACTTCAACCATTTACAGCCCACTTTACTAGTAATATATATATATATATATATAAATATAATTTATATAGTTGCTCTAACATGGGTTGATTTGAGCAGTGGCTATGATCACCTCATAATTATTGCTTTGTTTCTAGGATATTTAAAAAATGGATATCAAAATCCATGCAATATATTGAATTTATTTATATTTTATTCTTATCACTTATTAGATTTGAAAAAAATGCTTAATTCCTCTTGTGACCTTATATTTTCTTATTGCTAGAATGTGTTAACTACTATGGAATGCTAACAACTGATTCAATGGTCCTTAATACCTTTGATTCTTACTATAAGATTTAGTTTGTAGTTTAATTGAGAGAATGTTAAGGACCAGATGTAGTTATACTCACACAAATATAATTAATAAAATATAGTTAGCGTAGTAAACCCAAAATATGATGCATTAGAAGCTAATGAGTCTTCTATGTGTTAGTCAAGCCTTTAAAATTGAAGTTTCCAAGTTTAAAATATGTTCAAGAGCACCATTTTCAGCACAAATTAAATTAATGAAGTCCTTAAAATTTTCATTCACATCTGTTGATCAAATTGCTATTTACTTTGTCAATGTTTATTGGGCAAGTCCATTTAACAATTCTTTAATTCTTTTGTGATCTTGTTCTTTAGATTAAACCACTTAAAATTTGCAAATGATTATTTAAAGTTGAAGAAACATTGCTTAAACTAGAAGAGTCAGCTTGGTGTTACTGCTCAATATAAATATAAATCACAGAAGGATATATATAAGATTCAGGCGAGGGAGATTTGGTTTGGACTATACCATTCGACAATGTGATGATTGGTGCACATCCCCATCAAAATTTTACTTCCTTTTATTACATGGATATCATTCTACTTTGCATAGGATACTTATATGAACATTACTACTGTATGTGTTGGTTTTATCTATCTTTAATTAAATTTTTGAATATCTGACATGAATTTATATCAAAATAAACTTATCTTTGCAATCACTCTGTTTGTGCCTTTATTTCACTTTTTGTTGTTTGGATTCAAGTCTTAACACTTCATTTTTGAGATGAATGAACTTGAATTCTGCTCTATTTTGGAGTCGTTGTCCAGAAAAAAGCTTATGTCCATTTTCAACTTAAATTCAATTGATCTATCTTCAGGTTCTGGTTGGTCGTCCCTATCTCACAACTCTGAATCAGAGGAGGATTTGCAGGTTCTGGTGGATCAGGGGAGGAGGAAGAGGAAGAGGATGATATCGAATCGCAAGGTAGCAAGGCGACGTCGGATGAGAATGAGAATGCCAAAGCATTTGGACGATCTGGGGGCTCAAGTGGCTCAGCTCGAGAAAGAGCCTCGGCAAATTCTCACAAGCGCCAATCGCAGCCCAGAACATTACTCCAGCGTTCACCATGAAATCTCTGCTCTTCGAGCTCAAGTCAGTGATCTGTGCGCCAAGGTCGAATCTCCGAAGGAAAGAATCAGTCACTTGACTGCCACCAACAACGCAGCTTCTGCAAAGCCCTCCTATGACCACTTTGACTTCAATTCACTTCTTGCAAACTTGTTCCCAGATGATTCCACTCTAGATCAACTTGTTCCAGATGATTCCGCTCTAGATCAACTTTGGGATGGATTTGATGGAGTTGGAAGTAGAACTGGGAGGGGGACTGCAAGTGGGAGTGGGAGTGAGATTTAAAGTTGTTTGGTATGCCAATGGAAGTCTCATGTTATTTTACATTTATACATGTATTTTCAGGATAAAAAGATTAGAACTTCATTCATCCTCTTCATCCTTCCTATCATAGAATGGAACATCTACCTTGAGCAAGAACAACAATCCATCAACAAATAATTAAAACTACAGATCAAGTACTAACAACAATGAATCTTGCGAAAATCAAACTTAAAACAAATAATATAAAAAAATCATCTTCCTTTCTTCCTGTTCAAAAACATCTCACCATGTACTTGCTCTGTTATTGGAAATCTGGTAGAGAAGATTTCATCGCTGCCTTCTGAAAACTTAGTTTCTCGTCCCTATGATGATAGTCCTTCACCGACCGATGATTCACGGCACCCACAATGACTGCTTTTACTGTCGATTTAGAGATCCACCGATACACCAGACCTTGAAATTTCACTGACCAGGAGAAGAAAGAGAAAGCAAAGAGAAAATTTCAGACACAAATGGAGATGGCAGAAAGAAATTGACATTTAATAACCTGAGAAGCTTAACGCGAGTATATTAGAAGAACGACCACAGGAAGAACAAATGAGGAAGAAAATGGCCCTTTCAATTTGTTGGGTGATGATGCTGACAGCTTATTGCGACTGAGCAAGGAAAGGTTGTGCTTGGATGGCCGCCAGAGAAGAAATGATGTGGACGCGACGAAGGTTGAAGAAGACGAAGGCCCGTTGGTGGCGGAGGAGGCTGAAGGGAGATGACGAAGGTTGAAGATGAGAAGTGGCAAATTAAAAGGGTGGAGTTGTCAATATGACAAATTATGAAGGGCATAAGAGTCCAAAACTTGAGTTCCTATACAGTTCTAGGGTGTTCAATTTGTCCCGTCCTGGTCCTGATGAGTTCGGGACACGACGGGACGCGGGACGGGGTTGTCCTGTCCCGGAGTATTTTTTTTTAAAAATTATTTATTAATAATTATTATTAAATTATTTAATTTATTTATTAATAATAATTTTTTATAGTGATTTTTAGCTCTTAAATTGTAGTATTATCTCAACAATATCTCCTTCCTCAATAAAATAATTTATAAAACTATTATATAGTGTTTCTTCTGCAGTAATTTTTTTTTACAATATTGTTTTTACACCTTTTTTATGCTATATAATTGAGCTTTTTACATAATATTTTTTATAATGTTTTTATCTTTAGAAGCCTAATGAAAAATAAGCATTATAAATAAATAAAAATTCATATAAAAAATTATAATATTTTTTTAAAAAAAAAGGAGGCACGGGACGTCTCGTCTCATCTCGGTCCCGAGACCGGACAGGATACAGGACTAAAACCCTATCTCATCCCTATTCACCGGGATGGGCCTGTCTTGATTTCGTCTCGTCCTGTGAACACCCCTATACAGTTCCATAGGGGACAAGAAACTGAGTTCTCTCATTTGGGTTCCACAAGAGTTGGCTTCCTTCTTGCCAAACGGCGCAAATTTTCACTTCTCATCCCAATTCCAATTTTAAGGCATCACTTCTATGCTACTAAATGTAGCAATAAATTCATACATAAGGTCTATAGATTCAAGGAATCCCACCTTTTTTGGATTTTTAGATTGACATAATTTTTTTATTATGACCGTGCTTCACATACAAAGTATCACCTTTGTTGAAATTTGTTTTAAGAGACGTCCCATTAAATGGGTCATGTTCAACTCTATTATCACAATATCCTATGTCACCATTGCCATTTATTTTATTACTCAACAGATAGACCATCCATTGTTAGCAGGACCTGAGACATATAAAACATATTTAGTCTAAGAAGCCAAAAGAAAAGTCTAGCAAAAATCAGGTAGAGAAAAAAAAGACAAAAATTAAAGCGCAACAACATTTTATACATACAGCAAAAATCAGCCAACCAACTCAAAATATTTTAGACAATGAAAAAAATTAAAAGAAAACTACTCCTCTGATCCTATTTATAAGGTACTTCCAACAACTTTTACACAGATAAAAAAAAAACCTTAAACTGTATTAACTCTCCATTAAAATATAACAACTTTCAACTTTACCCCGATTTAATATATACACCTTTCAAAAGAATAATTATCTACATTATAATAAATGAAAGACAAAATATTACATTTATGCTAAAAATTTAATGAAGTGACTTATAAATAGAAAAAAAAAAAACATTCTATCTCTGTCTTATAAATAGGACTAGAGGAGTATTAATTTTAACAAGAACCCCAGAATGAATCACAAATCACAGGTAACACACCTTCTCTCACAAACACACAAATTCACAAACTATATCAATTAGCCAAAAATCGCAGCAAGAACCAACTACATTTCAAACCAATTTTAATAGAAGGAAAAGAGAAAACGAGGGTAAATGAAGGAAAGTTTAGAACTTACAACACAAAAAAATGAAGTAGGAAGATGATAAGAAAAGTGAATGACAGAGAATAGAAAAGTGAACAACGAAGTTGCCTTAAAAAATACATTTAATATGTTGAATTTATTTATATATTATTCTTTTCTCTTATTACATTTGAAATAAATACTTAATTCCTATTTTAACCTCATTTTTTTTATTGCTAGAATGTGTTAGACAATTTAATGCCAACAACTAATTTAGTGGTAAAAAGGTTCAAAGATATGAAAAATGGGAATGAATAATAAAAAATGAGGTGCCAGCAATTAGGATATGAAGAATAAGAGTGGCATAAAAAACATTTTTGGTAACTCGTGCACAGCAAACTTTGATGAAGAAGCTAGTGATAATTTTGACCATATTATTTGGGTTACTGTGTGACGGGATGACAATAGTATTTACTAGTTTCGAAAGACCATTGTAAAAGATCAATTGATTTAGACATATCTGATTTGTGTGATGTCAGAAGAAATTATAAAATTAAATATTTAGAAATAAATGAATGTAATAAGCTGAAGAAATTATGTGCCTCTTTGGTGGGACATGCAGAGGGGCAAAAAGTAGGTTATAAGAATGATAAGTTAGTTTATAAATTTAAAAGCTGTTTGTAATAGCTTTTAGTCAATCTGACTTATAAGTCAAAAGTTATTTTTTTAAGCATGGTTACAAAAACAACTAAAACTTACTTATAACTTGTACAAAAGTAGCTTTTTGAAATTAAAAGACTTTGTTTTTTGCTATTGAAATTAAAAGACTTATTTACCCTTATATATATATGTTGTTCTTATGCTTCTTTCTGTATATTTCTTGTGCTTCTCAATCAGTTTTTAAGTGATATTCTCTTAAGCAAAATTTTTTTTTAATAGTTTTCATAATATTTTTAATTTTTAATATTATTTTTATTTATATTTACATAAATTGTGCAGAGTATATCATCCAATTACTTATGTAATGTTTTTTGTAAATTATTAATAATTTAAAATTATTATATTTTGTAAATTCATATTTTTAATTATTTAATAAAAGTCATATCTATTTTGTCATTCTACAAACTAAATTTACTTATTCAATCACAATCCAAACAGTTTTTTTTACTTTACAAACTAACTTTTTTAAAAGCTAATTCAAGCATAAATTGCATTACCTAATTTGACTTTTTTAAAGTGAGATTGAAAATAAGTTACTCTTTCTACCGCCAATCTAAATGGACCCTATGTGTTGTGTCTCCGTCGCTTGCTTGTTTTGCTCCATCCTTGGTTAACCTATTTAAGGGGTGTTTGGGTATCGTGAAAAATGCTTTTTAAAAGTATTTTTTCATAAAGCGAGATAAACTCCTCCACATATTTATTTTGTATACTATAAAAATACTTTTAAAATTATGGTTTTGATTTCATCTAAATACTCCCTTAGTTCTTGATATTTGTCTGGCTCGGCAGAGAAAAAAGGGCCCCGCCAAAGAGGCCGCTTTGGCTTATAAGTTTAGGGGTGACTTTACTCACCTCTATATTCCCTCATTTTGGTGAGTTTGGGAATTACAAACCTCTCCATTCCTCTGTCGATGCCAAGCTTCAAGCTATATGTGAGGGTTTGGCCAATTCCCAGAAACAGGGGAGTGCACGAGAGCCTTGCTTAAATGGATTGTAAGGTGGAGAACATAGCGTCGTCGTTGTCCTTGTCGGATAAATCCTGGGCTATCGCGTCTTACCCTGAATCCGACATCAGTTTCTTGGATTTCTCAGATTCCAAGGATGACACCATCACTTTCCTTCCTTGGAGATTGACTGGCCTGTTATTTGAGATGTCACCAATCTTCCTCGTTATATGGTGTGGTCCTCTTCTAGTTTCAGCATGTATGCACTTGTGGTTTTGTATGTCTTGTCACTTATAGTGTTTCTTTTTTCTTGATTCAAGTCACTCTTAAACTACTTTAAAGCCAAATTCAATCTTTCTCGTCACTGTAAAACTGAATTTTGCCCCCATATTATTAGTGTTTATACATTGATATGCATATGCATGCTGTTTAGCAATAATTAACTACTTTTCTAATCATAAATGTAAGACCCATTTTATAGTGTAATTTACATTATAAAATGGGTCTTATATTTATAATCAAAAGAGTAATTGGCAAGTAACCATGTGGGAGGAATAAATGATTTTTTCTCACATAATTATCTAATTGTTGCATAGTTAATGTCAAATATACATAATCATATCTATATATCTATATATTGAACAAATATGATATGGTCAAGATGCATGCAAGCAAAGATTATAATTATAATTTAAATTAAAAAAATGACAAATTCACCCATTATGTTGTGCTAAGATATTTCTTTCCATTTTCGAATCAAATTTGTTAACATTATAGCATCCACGAAGAGATTCTCCATGGCATGCAACTATACATAAAAGCTTAATTCTAAAGAATTAAAAGATCAAACTATTGCTTATACCATGCACAACTTTGGCACAATTATCAACTTTTGTGTTTTTTGATCATGTTCAGTATTATCTACAAGTTGATTGCTTAGAGAATCCCATATTTCAACTTCATTCTTCAAGTGAGTAACACAGAGATGATAATGTCCGCATATATCTTTTTCAATATAAACGAGAACAAACATGCG